GGCGGATCTGACTGTACCTGCAAAGATTGTAGATGCTGCCAAGCTTCGAAATGCGGAGGTCCTGATTGTACCTGCAAAGATTGCAGATGTTGTAAAGCAGCAAAATGCGGCGGATCTGATTGTACCTGCAAAGACTGTAGATGCTGCAAAGCCTCGAAATGCTAAGAATCAATTTTGATTAGTACGTGGAGTTTTCTCAGAATATTTCAACATATTACAGCACTTTGAATCATAAAATACATTTAGAAATACCAATATAAAATTGATAATTTTCATTTTAATAATTTGATAATGTTTTAACAACCCAAACTATTATTAATTACTTTATTCATGCCTATATTTTATTTTTAAGAATAGAATAAATGTCATTATAATTATGTCTTTTCATTATTGACGTCGCACTTCTGTCGTTTTAATATTAAAAAAATGTTATCTACCAGCATGATTATTGTAAACTGATGTATTAACAAATTTTGATATATGATATATATTCTTATTTTTTATACTTTAAATAAAATTAGTGTTTATAACTTTATATTGTGTTTGATTACCTTGAAGCTAATACTAATTTATATATACATTTTCTGATTATTTATTTGTAATTAGTCTGTTAAATTATCAATCTATTCGTAATTACTACCACATAATGATATTATCAATTAGCATTCCGTAATTTCACTATTAATAATTGAATTTTTACTCATAATTAGACGGAAAATTCAGATTACTTAAATTCAAAATTAAAAGAATCGCAGTATAAAAAAAAATGTAAATGGTAATAATGAGTAAAATCGTCATTAAGTCCGACCCTACTCAAGATATGATACACGACCCCCCCCCTTTATCTCCTCACCCCGTCGACCTTTAAGCACCAAAATTTAATAGCATCAATCTCCCTAATAAGCAAACTTTCCTGCAAAATTTCAGAAATTTTCGACAAAAGGCACAGGAGTTATTAAGCTTCAAAGAGAGTGTATAAAATTCCGTCCCTCCCACACACAAATATTCAAATATACAGAAATTACACCCGAATCTTTTGCATTTCTCGAAGTGTCCTAAGTCCAAAAATGTAAAAATCTTGGTGGGGGGGTCATGTTTCGATCGTTCGCTTTCCCCGTTATATTTATAGTCTAACAACCGGAAAAGTAAGAGAGTGTTAATATAAACAAATTAATTTTAATAATAAATGTTTTATTGTTAAAAAGTATTTGCAAGATATTATAAAATAAGGTACAATTTAAAATACAGTATATGCTCTCACCTGAAATTAGTAGTGTCTTGTCCCTGTACACCATGCTTTTCCTGTTAACAATAGAGTCGTGCCGATCATTTAACTCTTTTCAGGTGAAACTTTGAATTGAAATAACGTAATTTCCGGTTTACATCGGAAGTTTCTGTATAGATAATCGGGGCCTCTTCCTCCTATTCTTTCCATATCTGGTCTCGAATTTCATCTATCTAACCCCGTTCTCGAAATTGAGGAAGGACAGACGGACGACAATGGGAATTTATAAGTCTACAATGACACCGTCTTTCCCACTTCGAGTTTGACAGATCGTTTACAAAGAAAATCTTCGTTTTTCACAGAAAAAGAGTGCGAAAATATGTAAACAACTGAGGGGGATTCGGACCTCACACGTGACTCCGAACAGCCCGCGGACCACAGTTTGATAAACCGCTTTAGTTACGCACCGTAACATTTTATAACGAAATCCACCGTATTTGTAAATTTGTTAACTAAATTTACAAATATATAACTAATTCCTTTAATTTTAAAATGAAGAGTTATATAATAATAACATACATATATATATAAGATTCACATAAACGTCAAATAACGAATTTTTCCGGAAACGCGTCAGAGGTATAGTCATGTAACGCGATTCGTGTACATCCGCCGTCCAACGTGCAACTCCGCGACGACAACAAGCTTAAGTAATGGCCTCTCGAACGGGGCACATTCGGTAAGTAGTCCTATAATTTTTTTGTTTATAGCACTTTATATGCTGGTCTCCCGGAAAGAATTCTATGTGTTTTGTAAATTTCTGTTAAATATGCCTCCTCTTTAAAATAAAATAAGAAAAAACGCCTGGTTCCCGTAATAAATATATCGCTTTGTTCTGTACTGTACTACCTAGTACAATTGTCGTTTCGTTCTGCGATGGCGAGTTCGAGTTCGAGTTCGAATTCCACGGATGTCTGCGCCGGTTGCGAGTTGAATTTCTATGACACAGTACTCCATTCTAAAGACTACATTAAAGAGGAATTGCTGCGCCACGGCATTTGGCGAGATCGAACCAATTGCGGTCGGTGTGGCAACTCCTTAGTTGCAGGAGAAAGTGGCAGGTTTCGATGCGGTAAACTAATCCGACGAGGAAGGCAACGTGCAGCAAGCTGTAATTGGTCCAAGTCCATTTGGTCTGGAACATTTTTTGAACATGCCAGTCTTCCGCTCGTTACCGTGTGGAGATTCATACACACCCTGTTGATCTTTCCGCCTCCGAGGCAGACTCTTCTCCAACAACAACTTGGCCTTTCCCCTAACACTGTCGTGGATTGGCTCTCTTTCTATAGAGAGGTACTTATCCACGATGCGGCGTCTATGTCGGAGAAACTTGGAGGAAAAGACAGGGTCGTGGAGATTAGCGAGGCCAAATTTGGAAAGCCGAAAGTAAACACTAGAAGAATAATCACGGGTGAATGGATCTTTGTGGGCATTGAGAGGGAGTCTCGACGTACCTTTTTTGTTCCTGTAGAGTCGGGCGACGGCGAGACCTTGCTCACGGTATTGAAGGAGTGGGTGCTTCCCGGGACGACGGTTGTAAGTGATTGCTGGAAGACATACGATTGTCTTCAAAATGAAGACTTTCGTCAGCTGACAGTAAATCACTCTTATAACTTTGTCAATTCCCAGACGAGTTTCCTTAGGAACAATGTTCAGAGAAAGAGGCGAAAGTTCTGCTCGAACGGTCAACGAAAAGTGCATATTGTCGAACATTTGGCCGAACATCTTTTCAAAATGAAATATCCGAAAACGACCCGGCGACTTCACTACTTTCTGCTTGCTGTTGCGAGGTTTTATCAGCCTGATTACTAGCTCCGTAGAAGTTTGCTTGCAACTGTTTTCGAACTGTCCTTCTTGGGTCTATCCTTTTGAAAATGAATCTTTTAATGGAATAGTTAATTGTGCTACATCTTAGAAGAAGAGTTTAAGTCAAGGAAACATGAAATTGTTAAGATAGACACATGAAGAATGGACAGTAAACTGCATATGATGAAAATAGGAAGCTGTCTTGGAAGCAAGAGAAAAGTTTCAGGAAAAATCAAGTGGAATGGAATGATTAAACTATATTATTTTCTGAGTCTACATAGTAAAAGGAAGTACCTGTGCAATTTTCCAAATAGATACTTGGACTTGCATCATGAGGCTTATGTAAATATGAACTATATAACATAAATGTTTTATTTTCCTTTATGCTGTGTTCCTTTCTTAAAAATTTAAACAGTTATACAGAATTTTCATTTCTTCCATACAAGAAATAAGTAAAAATTTCAGAAAATTATTTAAAGAATCGAACAAAGGAAAACATTTTAAAAATTTTTACATATTAAATACATAAATTATTAATGGCTCAGAATGATGAATTATGCCATTTGCGCGCAGATTAAAAAATTTAATTAAAAAAAAATTAAGTTTCAATATACAATAGACGCTGGTTAATTCAAATTTCCTCTTAATTTGAACTGGACGCCGGATGCTAGTCCTCGTCCGATACCTACTTACGGGGTTCTTACTCAAATTTTTTGTTTTAAATTCCACGACTTTCTCTGACCAACTTTGTTAAAATTCTCCGATCCTCGGGTCCCTTACAGTATGGCAAATTGACAAAATAAAACAGCATTTGACTTACTACACACGTACATTACTGTTTCTTCTTCAATTAGTTATTTTTTTTTCTAATTAACAGTTACATATTTTTTTTTATAATTGCTGAGTTATTGAAATTAGAAATAAGTATTTTATTTCTATTGTTATGTAAATGGTGATTGTGAGGGATTTGGAGAGAGTTAAAATATTTAAAACAAAATTTTAAAAAATACATAAAATGATTACGCTATAAGGTCTGATTTTGAGTGATTTTAAAATACAATCTTACAATGCAATAGAATAATAAGTCTTGTGTGTAATAAGACTTATTAAATCTAAAATTAAAAAATGTAAAATTTAAAATTAGCTCATTATTTTGGTCGTGTAAGATTTAAAGAATTGCTTAAGAACTTGGTCTTTAGGTATAGCACTTGTGTATTCTTTACATTTCTATTGTACACGTCCCACTCATTAAGTCACCATTTCACTGTAATAGCTTTTATATTCTTATTATCAACAGTATCTCTTTATCTAACTTGTAAGAGAAAAACTTAATATAATTTTTAGAAAATCGAAAGAACTATGTCTTTAAGTACAAAATACCCTAATGGCATGCATTAACCTAGTGTTTATCAAACTTCACTTTCTGGTGAACCTCTTTAATTAATAAAATAAAACTTTTGAGAAACCATAAAATAGAATTTAATTAAAATATATATAAAATGATGTCGTCAACGTATTGTTTGTAAATTATGATGCATCACCCAATTCTATATATAAAATATTAATAAATGTTTCTTAAAATAATGTCTTTGTTAACATTTTAATTTAAATGATTTTATATGTGTTTTAAAAGTAAATAAGAACTTTTAATTTGCACAATATAATATACTTCTTTTTCTTCTATAAACTCAAGGATCCCATCAATGTATTTGTACGTTCACAGGGATCCATGGACCACACATTGTTGAGAAATCTATCTGAATTATCTCAGAAGACTTTCTATAGGAAACTGATCCTATTTAGGTTTTAGATATGTGAAGAAAATCTGGAAAACACTGCGTGACCAGACCATTGGTGAGATGGCTTGCAACCAACTACCCCTATAACACTGTTGATAATTCCGTTTTATATGAATTCCATGTTGTACGAATCACTTAGATTTTACAAATACGTGAGCTGTTCACAGCCTGGCACACGTATTTGTAAAATCTAAGTGACTCGTACAACATGGAATTCATATAAAACGGAATTATCAACAGTGTTATAGGGGGATCAACTGTAGCAGTGTTTTATCTATGCAGCTAATGACGAGGTAAGCACATTAGTGAAGCTAGTATAAGGGCTCAGACCCAGCTTGTGTTTTAAAATTTCAAGAAATTTCAAACTATAATGTTTTAATGAAATTATTTAAATTATAAATGTATATAATTATTCTTATTAACTTTAGTTAAAATAATTTTAGAAGATTGTGTAAAAGAGTATTTTAGAAGTTAGACAAAATGGCCATGGTGAGAAATTTCAAATAATACAAAAATTTTCTTGTCAAATCTGAAATTTTCCTTTTTGAAGTATTTTTTGGTGTTCATAGTAGAGTAGATACAACTAACTGTCGGAAAATTTCATGAAAATCCAATAATTAGAATCACTTGGGTAGAATAAATATTAAAATTTGAGTCGGGGTTGTTGAAAGTAACATAAATTGGTTTTGATGGGGGAGACATCAAATCCCTATGCTATTCCATTGAGACCTACCAAGTGCTTTGTTTTCTTTGAATTAAAGAAATATTTGAGTTACATATGTTTGAGTTAGAGAATAAACTATATAAAATATTAATAAGTGTTTCTTAAAATAATGTCTTTGTTAACATTTTAATTTAAATGATTTTATATGTTTTAAGTTATGTGTATGATTTAATTTGATTTTTCCAAACTATGTAATAATTATTAATTGGCTCATAAATTATAGTTTTTATTTTGTGTGTTTTGGATAAATTTTGGGTCCTGAAAATATTCTGCATCCTTTTTTGTAAGTTACATTGCACCACATTACTTCTTTCTGTCTGCAGACAGCCACATTCGGTCAGCCATATTGCGAGCAAAAAAAATCAACAAGCAGTGGAGGCAAATTCTTTTAGTTTTAGACAAATTCCCTGATTTTCCACGACTTTTTCCAAGCACTAATAAAAATCCCTGATTTTTTTAGGTCTGTAGGAATCCTGTATCTAAATCGTGTAAAATTCTCTCATTAATTTGCAGTCGATTGTGTTATCTCCTGTTTATTTGAATCAAGAGCATGTATTAGTAGATTAACATCTTCCCACTTTTGAAATTTAAAATTAATAAATTAAATCATGGGGGGGTCATTTTTGATCGATTGCCGTACTTTCAATCTGGGAAAGTACCACAGAAAAATTTCATTTCCTGATTTACCATGGACCATATATGGTACAAAACTGTAAATGTGCAGCTACCCCAAGGTTCACAAAAAGGGACCCCCCCAAAATAAATGAAATAATTAAAGTATTTGCTGGCGTCATTCATTTTGAAAAATAATTTTATTTTTATTATTGTTTATATTTTGAATTATATGTACTGTACAGTATATGGAGGCACCAAAATCTTTTCAATGCTTAGGGTCTTTAGGAGTCTAAATCTGGCCATACGTGTTAATAGAGTAAATGCATGTTGTATTATCTTTTGATAAACAAAAATCATTAAAAATTCAGTAACTTTATAAGTACAAAATCTGAATAAAGACATTAATTACACTCTTTTATTTTATCTTTTTTTTACTCTCTTTATTCCTATTTACATTCTTTGTAATCTTTTTTGAGCTTTCATAATATATTATATTATTTATTTAAAGTATGATTGTCTAATAAGTATAAATACAATATAAATTTAGTATTCTACAACCTCATTATTATTAGAGAGGTTGTGGCTGACGTTTTCAACGCAAAAATGTGTACGTCGGACGTTCAGTGCCACTTTCCTGTAAGCCTAGAAGTTTGGCAATGGTGTTTGGGACATAGAGTATGATTCCACTGACTATCCAAACACCATTGTCAAACTTCTAGGCTTATAGGAAAGCGGCACTGAACGTCCGACGAACACGTTTTCGCGTTGAAAATGTCGGCTGCAACCTCTCTATTAAGACCTAAGTTTGTAGAAATTCAACAATGTTCAACAAAGAAATTGAGTTAACATTATCTTGTACCAAGGTCTTTGTTTATAAAAAAACAAAAAAGAAAAACATAGTCACTTTATCATACTTTCGATTCTTGATGGTTTATATAAATTAGTAATTCCACAATTTACCATTTTTATATTTATATTAATCATCTTAGAAATTCCATTTTCATTTAAGGAAAATATTACAAACACAATTAATACATTTAAATGTATTCATTAATACTTGCATATAACAAATAACCTGTTAGTTTTGTCTTTTTCTTTTAATAGGTCTGTTCGAAAAGTTCCTGAACTTTTTGAATGGCACGCTTCCAGTTGGTTATTTTTTAATCTGCTTGGAGGCATTGTGTCCGCAGAAACCTCCTTCAGTCCATNATTTAATATTTCTTTATCTTAATTTTAAATATAATCTATTAATATATAACAACAGAATAATTATTTAAATGATTATATACATAAAATTTTGTGTATAATAGAGTAGCTGAAATAATCTTATTTAAATCATATTGAAATTTAATTGAATATACAGTAGAGCATCGATTATCCGACTCAATTGGGGACTCTGGTTGGTCGGATAACCGAAAAGAAGGAAAAAATACATTATTAGTATAGTATATTAGTATATTTCTATTAACCAACTTCGCGTTGAATTTTCATTGATGTTAAGCCTAACAAATTTTTTTTTTTAATAATTGTCACTATTGTATCATTAAAAATTATTTTTAAATTATTTTATTGCTCACAAAACAAACAACCACTCATAATTAGAAAATTAAGTCTCGTTTAAATACTGGCCTCTCTTCTATGGTCAAGCCAATGTTGTCAGCTAAAACACGCAAAAATTTAACAAAAATAATATTAAAGTAGCCAAGACATAGCCAAATATTGTAGCGCCACATCACTAGCAGACATTTGAAATTTGCCGACTGGAACGGGCAGTTAACCGATGTGACGATTAATCGGAGGTCGGATAATCAATGCTCTACTGTAATTTTAAATTAATGTGGCTTAGAATTGTTTCTATAATTATTGCACACTTGACAATGTTTAAAATAGAAAGTTTAAATAAAACAAATTTACTTTCTTTAAAATGAATACAAGGAACTGTTTATTTCTATTATGTTTTTGGTCCAAACTAATTATAATTGTACAATGAAAGTGATAATTTATTAGCATCAGATACTTTCAACTTTATTTCTGATAATAATTTTTAATTATTATTATTATTATTTCGGTAGAAGTTTACCTAGGTAGTCCCAATAGTGGCACTCCTGGAATCTCGACAACACGTGTGTTTTGAAAGTTAATCTAGGTGTCACTGTCTTTAGTTTACAAGCTTTCTAACATCATTTCAGTTCTAGAATAATTTCCTAACATTTTATAATTGTGTTAAGAGTAATTTAAATTTTTAGGTTCAACAAGTTACGTATTGTTGTGTGAATTTTTTTTTTGACGTTTATAATTCATATTTTGTCATTTATTGTTGTAATGGCAGAGCTCGTAAAAATCAACAATTTTTTTTGGCAAAAGTGTGCTTCAAGAGATTTTTTTTTCATCTTATAATATCAGACTATTTAGAATTTAATTGTGACAAGAGAAATACATCAGTTGGTATGTTTGCCATAAAGTTTGGTACGCAACCTGCAGATGCAGTTTGTTCGAAATGTGATGGTCGTCATAAATTAAATTATTGAAAGGATCGTGATTCTGTTTCTTTTAGATGTCACAAATGCAAGATGAACAGTTTATCATTTGAAGTAATTTTTCAATGTAAATTGGGAAAATTTCTTGGGAAACTATTTTTTTGTTTATTTGGCATCTAATTTACATAGAATGCATGTTGAACGTCAGCTGTTTGCCTGTGGGCATGAGTAGTCAAACAACTGTTGAATGGGCAAATTTCATACAACACATTATGATTGTTTCATCATTTGATTCTACTGGAACAAAAATTGGATGGATCTGGAAAGGTTGTCTAAATCAATGAGATAGTTGTGAGCAAAATGAAAAAACTAGGAGAAAGGTTTGACCTGTTTGTTAAGCATATGAATGAGTTTTATCCAGGAGTGACACATGTTTTAGTTTGGAAAGAACCAGACATTGTACCTCCAGTCCTGAAAGTAAGTGACAAATAAATCTGAAAATCGTAAAGGGGAAGAATCGTGTGTTAAGAATGCAGAAAAAGTTTCTACGGTGGAAAAGGACAAAGTTATGATAGAATCATCCTAACCATGTTTTTTACCGAATAAATCTGAGAAAATATGTCACTGGTGAGTGAAAGATTATTTCTTTAAATGCCGATGTAGTAAGTAGCTGAGCTGGTCGCCATCTTGTTTGTGGACGTCTTGTTCACAAACAAGATGGCAATCAGAAGTGCCACCATGGGACTACCTAGGTAAACTTCTACCATTATTTCATTTAATATATAAATAATAAGTAAAATAAGTAATCTTACTTTGAAGCAGTGAAAATAGAACTGGAATTAGTAGCAAGGGAATTAATGGGAGCATTATGTGCTCGAATTTCTCCAAGTAAATGACAACTATCAGATGCCCACAGTTTTACATAGCCACCACGACAACTACTCAGCAATGCATTTCCACTTGGAAGAAAGCTCATAGAACATATCCAATCTTTGTGAGCTTGATTGAGTGACTGAAAAATAAAACGGACATTATTACATGCATATTTAAAAAACCTTTGATATAAATATATATTAAAAATGTTACCTGAACAAGGCACCTATTAGCCAAATCCCATTTTTTAATACACATATCCCGTGATCCAGAGAACAAATAATCTCCTTTGATAGCAAGGGATTGGATACCATCATAATGGGGAGGCTCTAAATTCATTCTAGGAGTGTGAATTCCACCTACTCCTTCCATAACTTCAAAAACCTGAAAATATATTTTAAATTTCACTTCATAATATTTAAAATATACAGAGTCGATTTTCTGATAATTCTGGATTTCTGGAAGTTGTATATTTGATTCATTACTATTTTTGAGACTGGATAATTTTGATTTTGGTAGGCTGTAATACAGCTGTAGTTCACCATGCAGTTGCTTTGTTTTGGTTTTTGTGGTGCACAGTATGTTAAATATAATTTTGTTCTTCCAGCTCTGTCCAATGAATTAGCAACTTCTGCAAGAGTTAATGGCAAAATTGAACAGTTAATGGCAAAAAGAAAATCTGTTATAATCTTTTCTAAATATAAAATTGTTGTATGACTGAAATCTTAAAATTATACTTAAAGATATGTAAATAAATTACAGTCTTATGTTTTCAATTCTTTTATAGTTTCTGGAAATAATGACACATTTAATGATGGACTTTTTTATTGATGATTTTTGAAGGGTATATAAAGTTGTATTGTTTAGGACAACAATTTCCAACCGGGGTACATGCTTGGTGGTTTAGAAGTATACAAAAAAAATTAATAATGGTGGATGTACTATAAGAATATTCAGATTCTGCATTGAAGGCATTGGCGACATCACAGCACTCGATGCTTATTTTTAAGCAAAAATATAATTATTGGACTGAAATTTGAAAAAGTTGTAGATCTATAAATTCCCACTGTCATCTGTCTTTGTGTCTGTCTGTCTTTCCTTAATTTTGAGAATGGAGTTACATAGATGAAAGCTGAGAACAGATAATCAGGGACTCCTTCCCTTAAGCTTTCCTTAACTATATATATGAACTTCCAATGCAAACTGGAAGTGATGTTATATCAATTCAAAAATTTCCCCTGTAAGGAATTAGACAGAAAATGGCATGACTCTGTTTGCCATTTTCATTTTACATAATATTTGTAATATTAGAAACGTTAAATCATTTAAAAAATTTTAAATCTAATCTTGTCACCAAGTTTCTCGGCTACTTAATTATTTTATGTTGTTTAAAATATAATTAATAAATTTTACCTTTATGTAATGATCTTTTGATCCTGTTATAACTAAATTATTATCCACTCCTAATTCATCAACAGCTAAACACATGACAGCAGATTGATGTCCTCCACTTAATTTGCCAATACTATGAAACCTATAATAATATAATATGCAATAAAAAATTAATTTATGACTAAATTATAATAAAATTCAATTGCTAGGAAAAACTTACATTCGTAAATCCCAAAATCTAACAATATTTCCAGCCGCAGTAAAGAGAGTTGTTCCGTAATGATTCAAAGCTATATCATTAATCTGTGTTTCTCCTTGTGGCAACTGTATAGTTCTGGATGATGTATTCGTTACCACTGGTCCATTATTTGTCAAACCAGAAGAACTAATTAAAAATATAATATGTATATAATATGTAAATAATAATTATTTATTATTAATATAATAAATATATATATTATATGTGAATTTTACCAAAGAGTTTTTATACATTTGGATGGATTTTCTCTAACATCCCATACTTTTACATAAGCAGTTGAAACACTAAATGCAAGTCTCGTGTATTCACAATATTTCACAGTTATAACATTATTTGGATGTCCTGCTAAACTTTGAATTTCTTGTCCAGTATGCAAATCCCATATTTTAACAGTTCGATCTAAGAAAAAACATAACTTCTTAAAATGAATGCATGAATTATTTTGCATTCTCTCTATTAATTACTATCAATACAGCAATTATACTTTATATTTATTGAAGATATTTGACAGAATTTTCTTTGCTAAACTATAAACATAAGAAAAACTTACCCTTAGAACTACTGAACAGCACATCATCGGTAGCCGTCACCGATAGGACAGCTTTACCGTGACCTTCTGCAATGTGGGTACAAACTAATGGACTATGTTTTGCTTGGACAACACGTCCAGTTATTGGAAGAATATAACCCCTAGATAAATTTATTGAAATTAATTTTATAAAATTTTTAAAATTAAATATTTAATTAATTAAAAATCAATTATATAATCATATGTTTTTTATTATATCTCTTAGATATTATAAATTTAATTCAAAACATGTTGAAATAAATGATATACTGTGTAATAAGTAATAAATATTAAATAATAAATATAATATTTATTATCTAGCATTTATAAAATATTACCAATGTATTTTCAATAAGTAATAATATGCATTTATCAATCTTAACATAAAATTAAAGCTAGTAAATCTGTTTTTTTTTCAGTATGTTATATATTATATATTAATATGCTGCACATACTCAACATAAATTTTAAAAATCTACCTACTCTTTTAAAAATCAATTAGTGAGAATAAAACCTCAGAAAAAATTTTAACACATTTACTTTGATATGTATCAACTGTGATATATAAGTATCTTGCAAACATAATTATCAAAAACTCCAGCTCTGGATAACTCTATTTTTTAATTATGTTATTTGTCAATCTACTATAGGTAAAAGTGACTAAATTTATATTAAACTTGGGATAAATGTAAAAGAATAATAATAGTATCTAAACTTGCATAGAAAATAACAATGTTAAACAATAAAAAGTATACCGAATTGAATTATATTGTATTAATATCGAAAAAGATGCTTGTTTGTAAGTGTGAGATTCGGAATTTTATTAGTTAATTAGCATGAGAAATATATCTAGTTTTTCCAAGTTGTTTACAAAAAAGGAAGACACAGTGTCACTTTTTACAGAAAGAAGGGAAATCAACTTCCCTTTCCAAGGGTTCATTCCTTATCATAATCAAACCATCTGCTTATCCACTCCTCTGCATGTCCCCACACATCCCGTCAGCAGCCGTAAATCCTTTAATGTTATTGGTCAGAAATTACGATAAAAGGGGCAATTTTCCTGCCATTCGGGGCAGTCATCAAAAGAATAGACTGCACAGGAGATGCAGTCAACAGAAGTATGGCATTGCCATAGGAGACATGCGGTCTGTGAGAAAGGAAGAGATTTGCCATAGGAGATGCAGTTCTTCATCCTTGGAAAGGGCTATAAACGACAACAGTCAACATAGAGGGAAGACATTGCCATAGAATCCAGTCAACAATCCCAAAGAACCTGCCATAATTCATGTAATTTCTCATTTGTGCTCCCACATCAAGAGTCCAATTCCCTCACCCATCCTCCATCTCCGAGCTTCACCAAGAAACTACACATAGTTCAGAAGAAGATTACCTTCCAGATCTACAATCAGGATAGTAAGTTAATTTTACTGTAAACTCTCTCTCTCTCAGTTCAGCAGTATACTCTTGGTTTAGAGGTTAACTCCAGTTACACTCGATTATGTTAATTTGTATTTGGAATGATGTATCTCGTGGGTTTATTTTATTTTAGTAAATCTCTTATTCTTAAGTTAACTCGTTGACTCTCCTTTGATTGTTTAAATACAAACAATACACTCCTCTACATCGTGGACTTGCTCATGACTCTCTCCACTCATCAACAAGGAAGCCCTCTTTTTAATTCAGTAATTTCATAGCGAGATAGGGAAAGATTTTGCACCCTATCTGGTGTCAGTCCTGACAGTCGAACGAGTCAAAAGATTCAGGCGACATATCTATTTTTTGGCCATCCTTAGACGAGAGTGAGTGGGCCTCAACGTCCCGACAATTAGAAGGTACAATACCTTTGACCGCAATCTCACATCAGTAAATATTAATTAATTCTGATGATATTAATAGTAATGCATTTTTAAATTCTAGATGATAATTCTTAGAGTTGAATCTATTTAATCTCATTACACAGAAACAAATATAAATCCAGTTACTATAAAAAAGAAGGTAACTCAATTTATCTCTAGTATAACAGTGAAAAAAGTGTTTGTTAATAAATTATTTATAGTTTAAATATAAGTTAAATTTTTGAAATTTTTTACCAGATTTTTTTTAACTTCATGTAAGTTTTAAGGTTAAAAGAAAAGTTTTGTAAACACATTTAAATGCTTTGTTGCTAATCTTTATATTTATAAAAAAGCTGGAATCAATNTCTTACTTTAAAGAACTGGACAAACTTTTGACTCTAGGTCCTTCTATTGTCTGTCTAATAGGAGTATGAAATTCAATCATAGATTTTTCTTCTATTGGAGTAGTTATTACAGGACTAGGCGACATTAATGATTTGCTTTGAGTTCTGCCAGCAAATAAAAGATCTTCAGGAGTAGCAGCTTTCTTCCTTGCCTACAGAAAATTTAAGATATGCAAATTTTCCGTTTACTATGGCATTAGGTAAAAAAAATTTTGATTTTTAAACAAAACCAGGGATCAATATTTTTATACAAAAATTTGCTCAATAATATATGAACTGTTTTAGTCATCATTTATCCGACAACTAATTAATTTTATTATTATTTTTTTGTAAATCTTGCCTTTTGATCAAAGAATATTGATACGAAGTATAGAGTTTAATCTCTTTCAAGTTATTGGACGGCGATAATATTGAAAAAACAAAAATATGTATTTTACAGAAATCAGAAAACATTAATCTGATACTTCAAGCTCTGGCATTACAACTAAACTAATCACAATTGCATCAATCCATATTTGTGCAAGGACACTAAATTTTTCATTAATTCCAACACATGATCTATGTTGAGTCCAAAGGAAACTTTTTCTCATTATTTTTACAAGTGCACTTTTAAGTTCTTTCCTTTTCTAAGCAATAGTAACAGAGATTAAAATTTATTAAATTTGCAGGCTAGACATATAAGTTTTGTGTCTACTTACTGTTGTTTAGCATACTTTTCCTGTTAACAACGAAATCCTGTTAGTCCTGTATTTAACTCTTTTCAAGAGAAAATATTTGAATCAAAATAATGTAAAGGGTATATAAACAGGAATATGACTAATATTAATAACAATAAAAAATAAAATCATTACTTAATGGCAAATTAATGAATTTTATTCAAAATTTGATTATAGTAGTAATATTAAAAGTTTATTGAAAATTAGTTTGTAGAAATAAAGTTTAATAATAATAATCTTACATGGAATTCTGTCTGGAGATAGAAGGAGGAGTAAAAAAACCAGTATGTTTACGAAGTAAAGAAGGAGACGTGTCCTGACCAAATACTTTTTCTCTTGCTTTTCGTCTCAGTGAAGGAGAAGTCTCAAGTTTAGATTTTGTAGACAGTTCTCTATAGTTGTTGAATATGATTAACAGTCATCATAAAGAGTGAAAGAAAGAAAAAGAATAGCAAAGAAGAAATTTTGGTTAAATGGATATATTATGGCAATTTATTTGAAGAAATTTTAAATAAGGAGTTGTTACTGTGAATGACCAATATCTGGCGAATGTCAGCATTCACACAGTCGTTTCGTGTATGTACGAAATATTTGCTAAATATCATTATTTCTCACTGACACCGGCAAATGTCGACATTCGGCATACAGTGATGGTGAATGTTGAATAAAAATATTTTTATTACATTAAGACAAAATTGCAACTTTTTAATATGTCAAAATAGGAGAAAGCTTAAGTAACAGCACATGTAAATAAACTGTTGAACTTAAAACGAACAGTACATACTAAGTCATTAAAGAAAATAATAAACTTACACATAAGTTATGTGATTAACGTTATACAATCTTATTTATTGCAACAACTTAAACTGTTACGACACTTTGAATTGCACAAGAGTCCCTTGCTTTTACAACTGCATTTATTCATGGAACACTTCTACAATGACAGTGTGTATAGCCTTGCCCTCCACTTTTCCGATTACTTTGGCTGCTTCTCTCTGCGATATTTCTTGAGAAGAAATCTCATCTATGGAAAGTAACTTTTCTTTACAAATTACGAAATGATTATGAGTATAAAGCTGCTTGAGGGTACCATTTTTCTTTGCTAATTTATAAAAGTCTGAGTCTTCTATTCCGCCAACACATTTCGGCCATCTATACTGCCATGGTCGACATCGGGGACTTGTATTCGTACGGTATCACCAATTTAAGCAGAAGGAAATTTTCTTTTTGAGGTTCGTAACATTTTCATTGCTTGCAGTAGAAGATTCTCTTTTGCGGCTGCTCTTTTTATAGACATAACTTCGTGTTGTTCAGTCAGGGCTTGATATGAAGATGTGGTGGGTTGCAGCTCCTCTTCAATATTTTCCTTTGGAATATGGTATTCGTTACGACCACTGCTCAAATTTTCTTCAAAAGTATTAACAATTTCTTCGACCTCCACCGAAGCTTATCTGTGCTTGTCGACATACACCGCCGATTGTTCGAATGTATAATAATATAACCAAATACTCGGTCTTTCACTGACGTATTTTGTGTGTGTCGACATTCACCGGAGAATATCGACATTCTCTAATTTCGGTCTTTCACAGTAACAGAGTTAAATAAACTCAAAAGCAATGAAACCAAACGTAAATAATCATAAGCAACAATTTAGTAAAAAATAATACTTTTATTTAAAATCATTATCAATATCTTCCGATAAATTTTTTATACGAAAAAGAGAAATAATCTTATTTAGAGTAATTTGTTCTGAAAAGTTATATTCTATTGCTTAATGTAAAATAATTATTTCAAGCAATAGTGAATTATGACATCTAAAACCTAAATTCATTATATTGTTCATTTGAATTACATAATATATATACAGTATATGTGGGATTTAGAAATATTAGAATGGGTTAAAAATAGTAAATATATTTAAAAATAAAATTTTATTTTGAAATAATAATAAAAAAAAATCTTACTTTAAAGAACTGGACAAACTTTTGACTCTAGGTCCTTCTATTGTCTGTCTAATAGGAGTATGAAATTCAATCATAGATTTTTCTTCTATTGGAGTAGTTATTACAGGACTAGGCGACATTAATGATTTGCTTTGAGTTCTGCCAGCAAATAAAAGATCTTCAGGAGTAGCAGCTTTCTTCCTTGCCTACAGAAAATTTAAGATATGCAAATTTTCCGTTTACTATGGCATTAGGTAAAAAAAATTTTGATTTTTAAACAAAACCAGGGATCAATATTTTTATACAAAAATTTGCTCAATAATATATGAACTGTTTTAGTCATCATTTATCCGACAACTAATTAATTTTATTATTATTTTTTTGTAAATCTTGCCTTTTGATCAAAGAATATTGATACGAAGTATAGAGTTTAATCTCTTTCAAGTTATTGGACGGCGATAATATTGAAAAAACAAAAATATGTATTTTACAGAAATCAGAAAACATTAATCTGATACTTCAAGCTCTGGCATTACAACTAAACTAATCACAATTGCATCAATCCATATTTGTGCAAGGACACTAAATTTTTCATTAATTCCAACACATGATCTATGTTGAGTCCAAAGGAAACTTTTTCTCATTATTTTTACAAGTGCACTTTTAAGTTCTTTCCTTTTCTAAGCAATAGTAACAGAGATTAAAATTTATTAAATTTGCAGGCTAGACATATAAGTTTTGTGTCTACTTACTGTTGTTTAGCATACTTTTCCTGTTAACAACGAAATCCTGTTAGTCCTGTATTTAACTCTTTTCAAGAGAAAATATTTGAATCAAAATAATGTGACTTCTGGCCCAAAGTGGAAGTTTGTATATAGTTAATCAGTGTCTCCTGACCCTAAGCTTTCCATATCTGGTCCCGACTTTTATCTACCTAACGCCATTCTCGAGATTAAGGAAAATCATACAGCAGACAAACAGACGGAAAATAGTGAAAATTTATAGGTCTAGAATTTTTTCAAATTGCAGCCCAAACAAGATTACTCAGCAGAAGGATGAATGAAAGCATCCTAAAAAAAGCTAAAAGCTCTTTAAATCATTAGGTTCCCTCCTTTAAAAGTGCAGTTTGAAAAGCATTTCTTTTTTTCCTTTCAAAGGTTCTTCCAATAATGGTTGAACACTTTAGTATAAAGAGACAAAGACGTTACCTTAATGAAAGGTTTTATTCGTGTCTAAAATGCACGACTGTTACGTATTCAAATACAACAAGAAACAGTGCTGCCAGTCCAAGAGACTAACTACTGCAGGGAGAATGTTGCTACACTGTGACACTACTACATTGCTCATCAAGATTAAATTTTTAAAATTTTCTTAGGAAAAGGTATGTGGAATGTTTGCCACTTCCATTCACATTTCCTTCAATGCTTACGAATAGCACTGAGACAGACTTCCTCTGAGACCATCTTCTACCATATTTGAGATGTTTCTCAAATTCCATTATGTCTGCAACAGGTTAATGCAGAAACAATGAAAATTCAATTAGTCAAGACACAATGAATTGGATCAATCTAGAATAAATCAATATATTGGAGTGACTAGCTTGCTCTTTTGATTGCGACCTCATGGAGAGAACTTACTGGGCCTACTTGTGAGATAGGTTTACACAAATAATTACCAATATTACTGAAGTTTTATATATACACAAATTTTATGAAATTCATCATTATCATCTTTTTTGAGGTGCTTTTTAATAGGCTATTAAAAGGTTTGTTTCCATCTTTGATATAAATTTTAAACTGCCCAATTTAGGAGATATAATTATTCACTGCATTTATGTTAAAATTTTCTATTAACACATGAATTTTGTTGTGAATACAATACAACTTTTCCTCTATATTATAACTTACTTCTTTCTATTAATATTTACTAAACTACTTAAATATTGATATCAATTCAAATAAGTACCTTATATTAGCAAGATATAAGTTAAAATATTTAATAATTAATTATCTAATAATAAAGTAAAAAAGAAATATTGAAACCAAGTGTTGTTTATAATAAGATCATTCTATTAAATTGACAAAAAATTTTTATATAAACAAATTGATTACATTGTTTACTAATATTTCTGTTCATTTTATAATGCTTCTGATGATTTCAACTGTTACATTACACATAAAATATATGGAATATTACCTCGGTTAAATTGCAAGATAAAATTATAACTTACTTTGTCTCTTCGATTTGTCACGTCGGTTGCCGTCGGAGGAAGAGAATCGGCTGCACTGCTCCTGTTCAGAAGTCAGAAGAGAAAGGGGGAGTGAAAATGAAGATGAATGAGGCAAACAGAAGGCAAAACTTAAACAGATCTAAATATGCATGCTTTCAATTTAAAATCACAATAAGTAATATATTATGCTTAATATGGCTATTTACACATTTATTCTTATAATTATAATACCTGCAATATGAATATAGAAAATAAAAATAGGATAGAATAAAAAGTAAAACAACAAGAAATATATTCCTTTATAAATCAAAGATACAATGCAAAATAAATAAATTTAAATAATTTAAGATTTAAATAATTTTTTTATAATTAAAAGAACATGCAAATAAAATCAGAAAATGGAAAAAAGATAAAGGGAGAAAAATTATAAAAGCAAATTAGTTATTATTCGAGGAAAAAGAAATAATAATGTTAGAAACTTATTAAAATAATATGATATGTATAGAAGCATTAAAAGAAAATGCATGTATAGTGAATATTTTCTATTAAATTTAATTAAATAATCGAAAATGTAGAATCAGTTTTGAAATATAGAAAACATAATAATATTTATAAAAGTAAATATTTTTTTTAAATTTAAAATTCCATTGTCAAAAATAAACGTATCAACTATAATTAGAATAAAAAATAGAATATATGGTTATCACATGCTGTTAAAATTTTGTATTCTGTTTTTTAAAATTTAAATAACAGTTCGCCAATTTCTATAAATATTAATAGAAATTATTAAACTGTTATTTAAATTAATTAAAAAACAAAATTCAAAATTTTAAGATTAAACAAACAGGTATTTAATACATTTTTGTATAAATTGTATTAATAAGTTACGCAAAATAAAAAATAGACAAAATATATAAATTTAAATAAAATACGTAAAACTAAAACAAATTTTTGAAACATTAGAAGACTTACATAAAAAATATAATTTTTTTTCGAGCTGTTTTCGCTGTTAAGTCTTCTAATGCTTTGAAAACAAAGATACAGTCGATCCCCCTATAACACTGTTGATTTTTCCGTTTTATATGAATTCCATGTTGTACGAGTCACTTAGATTTTACAAATACGTGAGCTGTTCACAGCCCGGCACATGTATTTGTAAAATCTAAGAGACTCGTACAACATGGAATTCATATTAAACGGAATTATCAACAGTGTTATAGGGGGGTCGACNGAAAAATCAACAGTGTTATAGGGGAGTTGACTGTAATCCCGTGTGATGTCATTTATTCGTTAAAAAAAAAATTGTCAAAATTTTGTTGTTTTTTTTATAAAAGTTTGATAAAATGTACTGAAAAAAATTTTATTTGCAGAATTTTTCCAGAAAAATCATATATATAAACATCTTTTATCTAATTTTTTCTGTTTCAAAAATTTCTTCTCAATCATTATTAACTGAGTTCTTCATATCAAATTCTTTTCCATTAATAAGTTTTTTTCACAATTTTAATTTATATATTTCTTAAATTTTAATAAATTATTATTTTTCAACATTAAAACTTTTTAAAAATGGTAGAATATCTACACCGGAGTACTGTAACAAAAACACGTATCTATAAACCTTTTACCGGTGTGCGTTTCATCACACTCTACAATAAACTTACAAACGTTTTTGAACCGTTACGGTTCTTCTTCTTAAAACTTTTTATTATATATAGACGCTCAACTAAATATTATCCCGCATAATCTTTAACATAAATTATCTCTCAACAAAATCTTAGTAGCTGTAAGTATACAATTTTCAGATTTGAAAATAGTTATAATTTATTAAGAAATTTTTTATAAATAATATTTGGCCTATTATGATTTATTCAATCATAATTTTTCTTAGAGATTTTTAAAATTTATTATTATTTAATTCATCTTAAGTGATATTTTATTATTTAAAGCCATAGAAATTTTATTTGACTTTATATACATACAGGTATCCCTCATTCGACACGGTAGTTATGTTCCGAAAAAGTGCTGTGTTATGCAAACCAAAAGACTAAAGCAAAACATGGGGTTAGATTCCTAAAGTTAACAGAAGTATACTATTCTTTTCCATCACTAAGGGAAATATGTTTATTAAAACAATCAATACTTTATTTCCAATCAATAATTAACTAACAAGCACAATTAAAAATAATATATTACACATTATCTGGGCTTTTTTGTTGATCTTGGTCAGAAATATCAGCAATGTCTTCATTTTTCATATATTTACCATAAAAAATTTTATGGATGACAAAATAAAAATACGTTATTAATTGAAAATTTGTTCTAGGGGCTCTCATTTGTTCAGTCAAGTATGAGCAATTTTTCTCCAGAATTTGTGTTCGAATATCAAATTGTTCGAGTGTGAGTCCCCGGAAATAGCCCCCGCAAAAGGGAAAGATACAAGAAAAAAAAAGTTTGTTAAGTTAAATCGTCAAGAAAGCAAATTATATAAGTATCGAATCAGCGATACCGGACTTTGACGTCAACGCTCATAAAGAATAACGGGAAAAACAAAATTTTAGATATAAAAGAAGAAAATTTAAAATATTAAAGTTAAGACGCAGTTTAGAAAGCAAAACGAAACTAGAAAAAAATAACAAAAAGAGTAAGTGTCGTAGTCAACAATTAAACGTGATCAGATTTGAAAAGATGGTGTCCGATAAACCATCTCCAGCCGACCTTTCCCGCAAACTTTACGAAGCTCTATTTACACCTGGAGACAGGTGGATGACCAATTGGAAAACAGTGATGTAAGATCTATCCAATTAGTAAGAAGCTGATCGCAAAAACCCTATAAAAACGCAAAATTCAAGGACAACAAGACTTCCACTAAGACTTCCACCAGGACTCCCACCTAGACTTCTGTTGTGTTCATATATCTCCGCTTATTTTTGTACCTCCGTTCTTCTTTTTGTGCACCGACTTTAGAGACTTTGAACTTTTTTCTCTCAGCACTGTCCAGGGGCCCCGACGACGCTAGACCAGATCGCTGCCGAAAACCCTCCAGCGTAGGACCAGATCGACACCGAAAACAACTTACGAAGACAACCCGAAGTTCTGAACTTAAGGACCTTTGCCAACAAAAAATTATGTAAGCATTATCGTCCGGAATAAACGGTTTACCTTTGTAAACACTTGTCTTTGCTGCCTTCAAAAACCGCCACCCACATACGCTTAGACCTTAGACCATCCCAACGGTAGGGAATAAAAATCTTCCCCCCCAATCGGCGTTCTTACACGAGTACCGAGATACTGCAGTATTTTGTTCATTTTTATGAATGATTACTTACCTACAGTTTATAAAAATTTAATAACACTTACCTAAAAATGTTTAAATAAAATTTAATAAATACAAAGATTAATCTATAAAACCAAAACATGACGACAGTTTGAAAACAATGTCAACAATACCTGGTAGACTGGAAAGCTAGGACAAGGAAGAAAAAACATTGCACTATCAGTTTTCATTAAACCTGATGAATAAATTTTAATAAATATTGTAAAATCCATGGACAGATTTGTGATGACACATATGTTTTGCTTGAATAAAAAAATGTCAAATAAAGGAGTTTGCACCTAAAAATTGTGAAATTTTGTATGGATAATTTCCTAAATTCTCGAACCATTCTAGAGTGAAACAGTGTTGTAGAAGTGCCATGTTGTACAAGGAATACCTGTACATACAAGCCTATTATTCCAATTTAATTAATGTTGATTAATAAATTTTAATAATTTATTTAGAATTATTTTTGATTATAATAAAATTAATTACTTAAAATTTTTAAAAATCTAATACTTACGTATCTATAGGAGATGTAGACCTGGAACTGGCCATACTCTCTGCTTGTTCTATACGATAAATAATAATATATTCGCCATTTTGAAGGATAAACAGTAAATGTTATAAATTATATTCATTTTCATACCATGATCAACAGTTGTCATAACAAAATTATACAGATCTTCATTTGCTTGATGTAATACATGTTGTAATAACTGCTGTTGGACAGAATTACTTTCTATAACTTGCTTCAATTTAACTTCTAATTCTTTGATATTAGTATCTTTCTGGGTAACTTGGAAGCTCTGTTGGTGATAAAGTTTTAATCAGATTATTTAATAAATAGGATATATAATAACATGTAACTTGCATCTTAAATTATAGTTTGCCATTAATATTAATAATCAATCATGTTTTTGCATTTAAACATTATATATTTAAATAAAACAATAGAAATGAATACTATGATCAAAGTTACTTCATTTTTATGCCAGGATTGATGCCAATAGAACTCCGAGAACCTGTGTCTCAAGAATTCCAGAGACTTCAGACATCATCTATTAAAAACTTTGATATTGTTAACATTTCTGTCAGTAATATTAATATTGATGACATTTGGCCTCAAGTGTATAACAACTGTTGTTGGTGAGTATATATGTTACCGGCCAAACCCGATTTCAGGCCAAACTAGTTTGTCCTAGGCCGAACTGATTTAGAATTACTATTTAAGTCAGGCCTGGCCAACCCAAATTGTTTTGCAGGCCACTTTGATCATGTGTAACATTACAATGGGCCACAATTTAGGCAAACATACTTTAAAAAAGTAAAACAAATACAAAATGTATAAGATTTCATTGTTATATCAAGAGTTCGTACTTGCACTTGCACATTATAACAATGACACATGCAAATTTTCATTTATTTAATTGTTTTGGCATACACAAAACGGAAAACGAAAGTTTTAATAGATATATAATATCGCTTAGTGGGCCACACAATTTAATGTGACGGGCCGCAGGTTGGCCAGGCCTGATTTAATTATATTAATGGTTAAAATAAAATCAAAAGTCAATCAATTAGATGAACAATATTTATTCAAGCATAGTCTACTTAATTATAAAAAACGGTATTGATTAGAAGTGACACAACACTTGTACAAAACTATAAAATAAAAATAAGCTAATCATTACTTATCAGTTTGTATTTTTTTTTATTAAGCCATGAACTTTTAAAGGTAATTAACTTTCAAAAATATTTTCAAAAATTCAAACGAAATAATAAAAACAACTTTTAAAGTCAAACTAAAATTAAAAATGAACTTGTTTGTGTTTCTTAGTGTAACATATAAAATATTTTATCTTTTATTTATTTTTACAGGGTGGTTTAAGTGTACCTAGGTAACCTCAATGGCGGCACTTTGGACTGTTAGTGCTCCCAGCAAACTTCTCCTGAAGGAGAGCCGCCAGCAGGCTGCCCATTGTTTAACATCACTAGTTATTGATTCACGGTAGTTCTTGAACAAAAGAAAAAAAAAGAAACGTCTACTAAAAATGTAGTTAACCTAACCAAACCAGCTAACTGAAGCACTGCCATATGAGTTACCTAGGTACACTTTAACCACTGGGTATACTGTGGTGGCATTTCAAATTACACAAAATCATTTTTTTTTACACTGGCACCTATTTGTAGTACATAAATCAGTTCAGCCTAGGACAAACTAGTTAAGCCTAAAGTATCTAGGCCAAACTAGTTTGGTCAGTAACATACATAATTTTAAAATATTTTTGGATAATTTACAAAATGCATTTAAATTATTTTCCCATAAAAAATTATGTACTTAGTTTAAGATAAATTTTGTAATCACTTACAAAAGGAATTAAATTAATTTCTGAATAATTATTTGACACAAATTTAATTAATAATTAAANAAAAAAAGCCAATTTTTATGTTTATAAAATATTTTGAATGAAAAATATTAAAATATGTACAAAATAAATCATTTTGAAAACTCTTTTTTATTATTTATCAAAAAAAATATAGTTCTGGCATAAACAATGTTAAATTTTAACTGACTTAATTTTGCGAACGCATCTTTTTTATTTATATGGATATCTTAAGGTCAGTTTTTGCGCTAATGTTGCTAATGCACCATTTGAGTGAAAAAAAAAATTGTTAAGGAAAAATTTTCTGTTAGCGAACCCTTTGTTAAATATTTTGAATATCACCACTGGGTTTAAGTGTACCTAGGTAATCCCAATGGCGGCACTTTGGACTGTTCGTGCTTCCGGCGGACTCCTCCCAGAGGGAGCCGCCGGCAAGCTGCCCATTGTTTAATGTCACTAGTTATTGATTCACAGTAGTTCTTGAACAAAAGAAAAAAAAGGAAACATCTACTAAAATGTAGTTAACCTGACCAAACCAGCCTAACTGAAGCACCGCCAATGGGGTTACCTAGGTACACTTTAACCACCGGGTGTACTGTGGTGGCATTTCGAATTATACAAAATCATTTTTTTTACACTGGCGTCTATTTGTAGTACATAAATCAGTTAGGCCTAGGTAAAACTAGTTAAGATTAGTGTTTAGGCCAAACTAAACATTTTATCCTAGGCTAAACTAGTATATCCTGACATGTGTAGGATAAACTAGTTTGGCCTGAAATCGGGTTTGGCCGGTAACATATACATTATCTAATTTAAAACAACGACAATCTTAGATCAGGTAGACATCTCTGGTTGAGATCAAAGTTGTCATTAAATATATGTCAATGTCAGCATTTCTTGCAATCAGAAGGGATCTTTAATTTTACTTAGAAACATATGGGGAACCAATTGAGTCATGAGAAGAAAGGTACAAAACCAAAGGGAATGTTGAATCAAGAAACCCAATGTACATAAAAACCTGTGTTCCAAGGACACCTGGTACCCTTTTGTACAGTTTCCATCCTGCCTGCTCTTTGACTGTCCATTTGCTTAGTGTTCTGTCAATTCTTTACTTTTCCACCATTCATGCAATTCACTGAGCCTTTTATGTTATTGTTGACTGAGGATTCTTTGGTGGTGTGATCTCTTACCAGTATCTATTTTTTGGAGTTCTTCTATGAATATTTGTCTTTACAATTTGAATATATCAAACCTTCTTTTCTACAAAGTATGACTTGACAATCTCTTCTGGAATAATCCTCATAAAAAAAGATAGGTATCGTCATCTCTAGACTTATCATTTTGAAACTTTTGCATAGTACTGTTGTAAAAATTTCATTATTAAACAGGTACTGTATATATGAATGAATACTGTTTCTTTCTCTCTTGAATAAATGGTATTTTAAACAAATCTTCGAGTCATCTCTCATCCTGAATTTGTGCACCCACATTCACGACACTTATGCTCATGTCAGCTTGTCATGGACCTTCCAATCAAAAATCATAAAAAAAATTTCTTAACTTCAATATCTAATTGGGTATAAGTTTCTGCATCCATTGATATGAAAGGAAGAAATGACATGAGTAACATCAAGCTTTGTACTTTGATTGTTTTTATCTTTGAATGATTTCCATTATTCATACAAAGACTCAGTGTATTTTGGAACATGCTAGAGGTAGTATCAAAGAATAAATCTGAATGATACAAGATGAAAAGTTATATCATATCATATATATATTGCCGCGGATCGCTCGTCCCACTGTGTCATTCATGGGTTAGAGGTTAGCGGCTTCACCTATCGAGCGAAGGTCTCTGGTTCAAACTTCATCGATGCAGGTTTTTTTTTTTGTGGGTACGTTTTCCCGGTCTGAGAACATATGTAAATACTAACTAATTACCATGTTTCTACCATGCCTCTGTAGGCTATAACAGCCAGTTCTCAGGCTGAGAGGGTGGCTTGTTCTCGTACTGCAAGCTGCAGGAGTTGTACATTGTCTGAGTTAATAAATACCTTTGTGTTCCTAACGACTGATTGCCATTTGTTCCCGCGACAATATATATATAATAGTAAGATATCTAGGATTTGACTTACCGTAAGATTTTTCAAATCTTAGAATTTGCTATCAGAGTTGACAACTCTTGAATTTGCCAAAAGACTCCTGGACTTGGACAAAAATTTTTAAATTCTTCAAATTCTGAATTGAGACCTATTTCTTCTGAATTTACTCAACAAAACAATCAACTTTTGGGTTATATATTAAAACAGACTAACAAATTGGCAACAAATTTTGATATGTTGCTGAGAGTGCCAGTTCATAAACAGCTATAAATGCATACATAACGTCAACTGCTTTTATACTTTATATACCATAAGATTGGTAAAATTTAACATATAATAATATTTTGTAGTGTATATTGTTTGTGAAAATTATGAATTATTGTACCATATTTACTTGCACATAAGACGATCTCGTATATAAGATGAGGTATGACTTTAAAGATCAAAATAAAGAAAATTAGAATTATTAATACAATTCTAATTTTATTTTGTTTAATCACAAATAAAATATTATCAAATGCATGTAAATGCACACATTGTCCTGCAAAAATTACTGGCATTTTAAACTTTATGGAAAAATCTTGTAAAATCGACAACATAATTTGTTCATGTAAAGCTGGACAATTGGAAACCTATTATGCCGATTTTTAACAGTCGAATCCACACTTATGAGTTTCTCCGAATCCTGATTTCCGAATAATCATCTGTTTTCATGTGGGAATGGATTAAAACTTATATCCCCTGTGTGATTTTGGAATTTCAATTCAAAAGCTTTGCTTTTTCCTATTGCTATTCATCTTTACTCCTGACAATACACAAGTGTGGGGCTCTGGAAATGGGCTGGAACCGTACTAAAAATAAAAAGAAAATAAAAAGAGAAAATGTAAAAAACGATTTAAACAAAGGTTATAAACTTTATGTCCATATAAGGACATGTTTGATGGAATTGTTAGAAAAGAGAGAATCTCATGTTAAAACAATAGGAGAATAATGTAAGTCCTAAGATCAAACGTCTTCAATGTGGATCGAATTGTCAGTCGGTGTTGACTCATCCCGCAATCTGGGTTCTGGTTTCGTTACATTTTGTAGCAAGTGAGGACCAATCGGAAAGCAGAGGTGAGTTGGAATTGACCTATTGGAATGTTCAATCTGGGGCTGGGAAAAAACATAAAAAACTGAATTTGGCAAAAACAGGGGCTTCTCTTTCATGCTTTTGGATGTGCTGCACCTGCCTTGAAAGGAATATTCTCATTGTGAACTAAGTGTCCTCCCGCCCCAGGACCATCGACTACTGCAAAAACATCAGAGAACTTTCCTCTTTGGACCTCCATCATCAGGAACAAGGGACCCAGAAGATTTGGTCTCTGCCACCCATTTAAAGTGTATTATTGTTGTAAGATATTTTTTTTTTTGGTGTCATAATAAACTGGGTTAATTTCTTGTAACTGTGGAGTTTGTCTCTGTGCCAAATGCACCAAATCACACTTCAGAGCAACTCGGACATCTGGCGATTTGGCAATCTCACACAAGAATGATTGAAACAACCCAGATAAATAGTTTTGTTTTTAAACACCAGAGGGTGAGCATCCAGTAAAAAATGAGAATACATGGTTCACAAAAAATTATTGCAAAAACACAAAGAATGTTTTGCTTACGTGTATAGGACAACCTAGGTTTTTGAAGCAGTGAAAAATGAATAAAAGCCACATCTTATATACGAGTAAATATGATAATTGTCACATAATTACTCAGAAATAATAATAATTTAGTTCCACACTCAGAAAATATTTCTCACAATGAAATTATCAGACTTTTAAAACAAAGTTATTTGCAGGATTTCTAAATAATAATGAAATTTAGAGAAGATTTTAGTGGTTTATCATTTTTGTTATAGTTTGATGTAAATGATTTCTTTACAGTTGTTACTGACACATTATTCTTAAAAGTAAAGTATGTTCAATTCTAACTAAGTTAGTATTATTTATTACATCTACAATAGAAAGTGTCACAAGACATCAAACTTATATTTGTTGATTAATAAACTAAGTAATTTGCCTACTACTAATTTGGGTAATCAAGCAAGGACTAAACTGGAGCTACCCAAATTTAATAACAGAATTGCCTATTTTAACTGTGTTTATTTTTTAACAGAATAATTGTCTCCGATAACCTTTATTTGCATGCACCCATTTGTCAAACTCAAAATCAATCTTGCTTGCATAAGTCTCGATATTATCTTGACATTTCCCGTTGACTTTATTTTTAAATATATAATAGTGCCATTGATAATATGAGCAATGTTGAACATATTTTAAATATACATTTTTAAAAATGTAAGTGTGTTAGTAAAGAAACATATGATTTTGTAGAATGTATTATACCTTTTCTAAATACATTTATTTATTTTAGTACACGTATTTCATATTTTTTGTAGTGTATAGTTTTAAATATTTTTGGATTACAGTAGAGCCTCAATTATCCGACTCAATTGGGGACTGGGGTTGGTCGGATAATTGAAAAGTTGGATAACCGAAAAGTATGAAAAAATCCATTATTAGTGTAGTATATTATTATATCCCATATAATTAGTATATTAGTATATCGCTATTAACCTACTTCGCGTTGAAGTTTCATCGATGTTAAGCCTAACAAAAATTTTTTAAAATAATAATCGTCGCTACTGTATTGTTAAAAATTAGAAAATTAAGCCTCGTTTAAATACTGGCTCCCTTTCATGGTCGAATGAGTGTTGCCAGCTAAAACATGTAAAAATAATATTAAAGTAGCTAAGACATAGCCAAATATTGTAGCGCCACATCACTAGCAGACATTTGAAATTTGCCGACTAGGACAGTCGGTTAATCGGGGGTCGGATAATCGAGGCTCTACTGTACTTTTAAAATACAGTAGTATTTTAATACAAAAGTAATTTAGTGTAATTCCTTTTTTTTTATTATTTTATCTTTTGCAAATTTGCATCCTTTGTTTTAGTGTATATTTTTTATACTTTGTATTTTTAAGGAGTTGCTATATTATTTGTTGGGGGGATATTTTATGCCTATGGCATTACCTTTGTATTGATTTAATAAAGAATAAAGATAAAATATATAATTTCTGCAAATATTAAGATGACATACAGACAAAAGCTGAAAGCTTCAAAAACTAATTATTATAATAGTGACATTGTTATGCAAATTAAATCTAACCTGATTAATAGACATATGCAGAAGTTTTTCTAATAAGTATTTGCATTCTTCAAGTTGCATGTTTGATATTAGATTGTTAACATCCAAACCATCCATATCATCCTGAAATCAAAAGTTTAATGAACTTCATTCATTAAATTAAAATATAAAATAAAATTAACTTCAAGAAAGAAAAATACAAAAATTATCAGTAAACTTTAATAGCCTTTCTTGTTTATAGAATTTCAAAATATACCTTTGTTTCTTCCATTTGAACAATACTACTTTGACATTCTGATATATTTTCTTGAATATAATCAATATTGGCTTTCAAATTTTCTACTTGATCTTCTAAATCTCTAAGAGAAGCTTCATCCTGAAATGCAATTAATCTTCTTATCTATTTCATATGATAATAATAATAATATACATATATAATAATAATAATAATAATACATATATATATATAGTTTTAAAAATATTGGAGATTGAGCTATTTCCCACATCACAACAACAATGCATTTATACATAATACACACACACACACCTGAAATATTACTTACTTGTATAAACATGATTACTAATTAAATTATATTTTTGGGTCATACTTTTTTGGTGTTGTGTTTTAATGATGGAGTGGGACCACCTCATTAAAACATCATTAAAAATGCATTATCATTGGACCTAAGTACATTCTCAAAGTTTTAACAGTCTATCTTAGTTAGAAGTTAATGAAATTTGAGTTGAAAAATTTGAAGATATAATACAAAGCAAATTAAATAAAATGTTTAATAATAAAAATATACTGGTAAGAGCATATTTTTGGGACTTGGAAAAATAAGGGCCAATACTCTTGACATTGGTCCTTATTCTTCTGACTTACAGATTTTACATTTAAGACTTTTTTAATATTCAGTTTTATAATTGTAAAGAAAAATTAAATTTAAAATCACAATTAAATTACTAACATGTAAAAGATAAAATTAACTTCAAATACCTTTTTCTCCAAAAGTGCACGATCCTTTTTTTTCATTAGCCTATCTAAGCAATGGCTTAATTTTTCTCTTTCCTATGAAATAAATTAATTAATCTATAAAAATATAAATGTATATATATTTTTTAATGAAATTTCAATATTCAGTTTTATAATTGTAAAGAAAAATTAAACATAAAATCAAATTTTGTTTCTGTTCTTGAATAATCTGTGCTTGAAAAAGAGTTAGTATATACTATGTATCAACTGTATGTAAACTAGACGATACTATATAACTAATAGCAAAGCAAAACGCTTGTATGCTTAAGGCTTTTTTAATATAATAAACAAAATATTTGGATATAAAAATTATTTCTCAATTTATTAAAAGAATGACCACTAATATAAGGTGATATACTACTTATAAGAATTATATTCAAACCATATGTAGCTTGATCATGCAAATACTGCCTATGTGCATTTTTTAGATATCAACTTCCATCTGGTCAATGGCCATTTACAAATTGGCATCTTTCACAAACCATGCTATGTCCTTGTATCTCTGCCTACTCATGTGATCTCTTTATATACAAAATAGCAGCTTTCAGGGCACTCACAAGGAGGCCTTTACTGTAATCACTGTAGCAATATTGAAGATATGATGAAGAGTTACAATATCTGGAAATGATCACAATAAGGCACAGTTATTGTAAAAATTTAGTATAGGATCTTGCAAAACCCTTCACCAACAAGCACCCCAATTTACCAGCCGTACTATCCAATCAGACTCCAGCATGGATCAAACACATACTCCTACCCATTGTGGTGAGCACGTGGTGATGAATGAATTCTCACAAAGAGACAGGAATATAAAACAATAAAACGTGCTTTATTTTACTGTATGAACATATATACAGGAAAGGTTCGTTGATTCCGACCTCCTTGTTCCTCACTTTAATTAAACAAAGGGAACAAACAACACCGATTGTTGTTTCACAGTGGAGTTAAACTTTTCTTTCGCGTAACAAAGGAGACACTTAATTACTAACTTAAAACTACTTATAACTAGAAGTGGAAAGGAAGAACAAGAATTAGAATAGAATGGGAGAACAAGAATGGAAATTTCTAGTAAGGAACGGGTACCCGAATGGTTGACTGCGGTGGTGGCCACTAGATGATTTCGTCTTGGGATTCTTTTCTTCTATGGGGACGGAGCACATGCGAGGACCCAAAGTTCGTCCTTTAGTCTCGGCTTTACCAATGTTCTTTTTCTCTTCCAATGCTATTTCTATCTTTAGTGTTCTTCGTAACCCTTCCGGCCGAAGCAACACCGAACTCGAGACCGCTCTCTCCGACGGTCTTTCCTCCTCCGGTCCAAAGCCAAAAGTGTCCTTATCGTCCCCCACTTGCCCTCTGGGCTATCTTCACTCCTTTGTCCCGAAATTGGGTCACTGACCACCCACATTCAGACGAAAGTTCCAGAAAGTATAGAAACAGAACAAAGAGAAAGGGGAATAGAATATTCTTATATATACATATATAAAATAAAAACAACAAAAATATACTGGTGTACCACCACACCATACATACTTTGTTGTGGAATACAACCAAACCCCATATTGCCTGTACAAAAATAATGCCGACAAACAGGATACTAAGTTAATCTATAAGTGCATCCCAATTATATACAAACTACTCCTCAATGGAAAGGTTGAGTCAGATAAATGTAGAGCTCTGAGGTATATTCTGTTCAGAGGAGGAATGATAGGTTCAGCAAAAACCCTGAATACATTGGTTCCACCAAGTGTTCACTCCATAAATGTCTACTAAAACACCAATATGATATTGAGCACAGAAACACCATCATCCTGTCTGTTTATTCCACAAATAACCATGTACATGTGGATCTTAGTAATCCAGTTATTATCAAACAATGCCATGACAAAGACTATCTCAGAATCCTATAAGCTTTAGAAATACATAAACCTTGACTGAGAGATCACTGTATCAACTACTAAAAACCTCTCATTCATTTGGCAGTATTTTTATGAAAAACCTGTAATATCATTTACGTTTTAATGACCTTTATATTAATTTGCTCTTACATGAATGGTCAGGCTTCAATATATTTGTATTATTTTATTTTATTTGTCTTCAAATTGAAAAAGTTTGGTACCATTTAAAATAATTTTGTACATTTAAATAATGTTCTACTATGCACGCCATTTTGGAATTGTAATTAACTTGACAAAAATCCAATTTGTGATTGAAAATGTTAGTTGATATTAAATTTTAACTGGTGTTATAAAATGTTCTGGATGGTGTGCTGTGTACAGAGGATCTGCAAACCAATACAAAATCACAGTCAAAATTACTGTACAATCAATGTTTTAACAGTGAGATTTCATGTCAGTATACACAAGCATGAAATTTACCAGGTATGTAGTATCACTCTGAAATATCTGTATACATGTTCTTCAGCATAGTGGACAATTCTCTGCTTAAACATAGCTTTATAAGAGATTTGTCTGTTGGACATCGTACACTCAGCTTGCTGTAGTCTAAAATACCATCAAACCATTCCAAAATTGCAATTAAAGCTGAAGTAGTGGAAGGAGTATACCATGTCTACACTGACATTATAATATACAGTAGTACCTCAGGATACGAAATTAATCCATTCCTAAACTGAGATCGTATCATGAAAATGTTGTAAAGTGAATAATTTTTCCCCATATGATTACATGTAAAACCAAATAATCCGTTCCAACACAAAAAACACACTCAAATTAAAGCTAAGTAGTACATTGAAAAAGAATAACTTTAGTAAGGAAAACACTGAAAAATGCATTTTGTAGTTGTAAATGTATAAATAACCATAATAGAATAATAATTGATAAAAAAAGGTAGTTTTATTTGCACTTTACCTTTGAGGATAGACGACGGTGGAGGTGTAAACTGGTGGCAGAGGAGAGGGAGAAGGGAAATGATACTAAAACTTAAATTACATAAGTTATTTTTAAGTTATTGTTACATTAACACTATTTTTTTTATCTTTTCTTTTTTATACTTTTTAAATTTTTTATTCACTGCTTTTTGCTTTCTTTCCTTCACTTACATCAGCACTTTCACTGGATAGAGGTCGCATGGTAAAATATCTATCCAAAGAGGTTTGGCTTTGCCTACTTTTTAAAATGTTTCTAAAATGATTTAGGCAAATGTCATTAAACTGAGCAGCAATACGGCCAGTGTGAACCTTTTTGGGATGTTTCTTTTCAATAAAATCAGTCACTTTCTGATAATATCTCAAGATTTCCTTTATCGAGCGAGATCCTTCCACGACGAAGCAAACACGCGGACTGAGACCGATGAACAGAAGGAACATGTGATCATGGTGGCGAACTAATGTAACGTTGTATGGTGAGTTTTTGTTCGTACCGTGGAGCAAAAATATGTTCGAATTTCATGTTGTATCCTGAAAATTTTGTATGCTGAAGCGTTTGTATCCTGAAGTACTACTGTATCTGAATTGTCAAATAGAGTGAAGAGCAAAAGATGCAAATGAAGCTGCATTAAGTTGACTTTGTGGCTGATTGTAATGCACACATCTTAATTTTTGAGACCAGAAAAGTCCAAAAAAGATGCATATTAGAATTGAAAAAACACAGTAATAAATGTGAAGATCTAAATTTGTAAAATTTATTTAATTAAACCAAAAAATCAGGTTTATTTAAGCCTACGTTCCTTTGCAGAAGGGTCCTGATATAAAATAATATTTAAGGGCAAAACCTTACACAAGGAACAAAACTAGCTTAAAATTATTAAAAATTAACAATGTTACTTATAAAGATGTCATCACATATACTTTTTAAAAATTTCAGTAAAAAAGTTATCAAATAAGTCATAGTAATAGCTACTTTTATTTCAATCATATAATACTTTTTTCTAGTATAAAATTTTAAATTATTTTAGTAATTAAATAATTTATAAGAAAACAATCAATGATTATAAAATATAGAAAGTTACTAAAATAGTTTCTACAAATAAGTTTAATATAAAATAAGATTTCATTTAATTTCTTTTATAGACACAAAATTCAAGTACAGTAGAACCTCGATTATACGGACTAATTGGGTATGAAGGTAGTCCGGATAAGGAAAAATCCGGATAATCGAAACAAATACTTTAATTTGTCTTTTAATGATAATACAACACGTTTTCTTTTCGATGACGTATCGGTAATATTAAAAATAAATACTGTATTTAAATCGTGATCAAATTTTCAAGAAACAAACGTTCGTATTGAATTTGGACTACTACTGACCAACGCTAACAGACTACCTATTGTTTAAAAGGCCCTCTGGTGGCGCAAGAAGACGGATTTTATAAAATAAAAAGCAGTTGAAACTGCATTTTTATGAATAAAAATTTGACAAACTATTTATCGTTTTATGACGAGTAAAATTTTTTCGTCGCGTTCGCGGCTTTTAAGTAATGCATAAACCTTCGAGGCGCGAGGCCCTTCGGACCGCGAGGCATAGGCGGTGGCCCACGTCGTCCATGCCTTACGCCGCCCTTGGTCATAGAAATGATGTAATTTGAATATAAATTATTTATAAATACGTATGTCAAGTTATATTTTTATTACTACGTAAAATATATTTAAGAGTTTACGACCACTGTGCTGGGTGAGACGTTGTTGAAACAAAAAAAGTTATGCATTCCATCACGTACATAAACAGTGTCGTAATTCGCCAAGTGCAAATCAGCAAATTCGTAAAATTTTTGTTTATTTTGAACAATCCGGATAATCAAAAATCCGGATAATGGAGGTTCTACTGTATACTGTATTTATGCTTATTTACTCCATCTATCAGAACCATTTTCAATATAATTTAATGTGTTTTCTAATATTACTTTTTTAAACATTTAATTTGTATAAAATTCAAATAAATTTTTTTACAACTGATAGTAATTAATTTTAATATTTGGATATTAAATTAGGAATTACTAAAATTATATTTTACTTTAAAAATTCACGCTAACTTTAATTCTTATAATAAAAGTATATAAAAATAAATTAACTCATCCGAAGTAAAAAATAGAAAATTTAATATTAGATCTTTCTAATTATAAACATTTTCAATATATTTTTAGTTTAAAGAATCTAAATGTAATATTTTTCAGATAACTTTGTGATTGACCATGTTATAAGGCCTATATGGTACTGTACATACATTAGTACATAAAAAAATAACAGGATATATTTGTCAGTTTTAAAATATATATATATGTTCACTCTATTCCATGCAAACTATTTATTTATTCTAATACATTTTACTTTAAAACATGAACTATGGTAATGTAGCTAATAATTCTTAATTATTACATATATTTTATATTACATTTAGATATAAATCTATTTTATTTAATAGAGAAAGCCTCTAGAATTATACATGGTTAAGAAAATTAATTATTAGAAATTTATTTTAAAAAAAGGCAAGCTGAATAGATGGAATAAATATTGCCAACATACTTGATATTTGCTATCCAGATTTAAATATAATTGTGGAATAAAAAGTATTTGTTTCCTAAGGCATTAGTATACTTACATGCAGCCATCTTTCCATATCTCTTTCAACATTGTATATACTTTGTTTGTTAAGTACTAGCTTGTTAATCTGAAAGTTAATAATATGCAACTAATATATTCAATGCTGATTATTACACACACTAAAGTTAATGAATTAAATGTATCAACCAAACCATCCATATCATCCTGAAATCAAAAGTTTAATGAACTNTCACTCTATTCCATGCAAACTATTTATTTATTCTAATACATTTTACTTTAAAACATGAACTATGGTAATGTAGCTAATAATTCTTAATTATTACATATATTTTATATTACATTTAGATATAAATCTATTTTATTTAATAGAGAAAGCCTCTAGAATTATACATGGTTAAGAAAATTAATTATTAGAAATTTATTTTAAAAAAAGGCAAGCTGAATAGATGGAATAAATATTGCCAACATACTTGATATTTGCTATCCAGATTTAAATATAATTGTGGAATAAAAAGTATTTGTTTCCTAAGGCATTAGTATACTTACATGCAGCCATCTTTCCATATCTCTTTCAACATTGTATATACTTTGTTTGTTAAGTACTAGCTTGTTAATCTGAAAGTTAATAATATGCAACTAATATATTCAATGCTGATTATTACACACACTAAAGTTAATGAATTAAATGTATCAAATCAAATCACTCTTTCCATTAATTAAATAAGTCTTGGTAAATACTAATAAATAACTTATTAACTTTTATTAATATTTATACAAAAAATGAATAAACAAAAAAACATTAATATAATGTTATATAGGTATCTCTTTCTTAACACAGATTTGATTAATGCATGAAATTAATTACCCTTTATATACATGACAGAAGTTTTAATTAACATGACTTTAACATCCGTCTTTACTTAACATAGACACCATATTTGATTAACGCGATTTTGATATATGTGGTAACATTGAAGAATTAATTAACAGTGTTAATCAAAGGATACCTGTACATATTTTCGGTTATTTACATTCATCAGTAGCATGTATATCATTTATGCAAAATATATTCACTTGAAAAAACTTCTGTATAAAGAAAAATAGCTTAAATAGTCAAAATCATAATAAACTTATTTAAAATATTTTTTGTTATAAATTAAAATAAAATTTCTAAAGAAACCATTATTTGATGGAAAGCAATTTGCTTAATCCACTAAAAGTTAAAAGAGTAAAGCCAAGTAATATTAAAATTTTTGGAATATAATAGTTCAAAAATTTATGTAATGTATTTATATTACAATAATCCAAAGTATATTTATTGCTTATATGTACCCCATAAAATGTAGAACTGTAAATAAATATTTGACAAATTTGTAACTTCAAAAGTTTCTTTTTTTTTTTTATTTATAACTTTTCAAAATCTGGATTCATCAACTAAATATTATTAATAAGAACAAGCAATTATTTATTGTGACATCACAATGCCAAGCTGCAATTTTTAATCATATTCTTAATAATTTTTTAAAATATAAGCTCTCCACCTCAAATTAGTAATGTTTTGCCCCTGTACATCATACTTTTCCTGTTAACAATAAAGTCATGCCAGTCATCTAATTCCTTTCGTGACCAGCATGATATTTAGATGTCATTAAGGGTAGAACACAAAGGCGACCAGCAATGACAGGACTGTACAAAGAAAGTCAACAGACTCTACTCCAATTGATGAGATGACTGGGAGAACATGCAACATGAAAGAATGGTTATGCAACATGAAAATTTGAGGAACTTCTTCCGTATAGTGTCTCCTCTCCATTGCATTTTTGAATGTCTACTGACAGTAATATTGTTTGGTGAGAAAATTCGCAGATTAGACTAATACATAATTGTTGCAAATTTTCAAATGACTGATTGTGACGGGAATCTAAAGCATTGTACTTTTTTGAATATCTTCTAATTATTAAATGTAAAGGATTTGATGTTAACTCAACTTCAAGTTGAGAAAATAAAAACTTACAATACTATAACTTTTATGCACATCATAGTAATGTTGTTCTATAACAGTGTGCTTTTCTATTAAACAAAAAGGAAAAGTTCTTGCGAATTACCTGCAGTTTTCATTAATCGGGAGAGAGAATGGGTGGGAGAACATGGAGGTGGAGGTGGAAAGAAGATTGAGCCATATTCCCCTCTTTATTATCACTAGTTTGGATGTGAAATTTTCTGAGGATGGAATAGGCAACAGATGCCAGGAGGCTAAGTATATTGTGGGGTCCTGATATAAAATAATATTTAAGGGCAAAACCTTACATANAAACAGTGTGTTTCAGTTACTGATCCTCTACAATTCAAGTGTTGAACTGAGCATCGCTATTCAAAATGCATCACTGTAGATTCCTTCAGTGTTCCTGAAGAATTGTCAAACCAATGCAAAGGTCATTTGATGTTGCCATCTGTGCCAAAGGATAGTATGCAAGTGTAATCTTATTTCTTAATGTAATATTCAAAATCCACATTTTGAGCATAACTGTATCAACATTATCAATCTTTAAACCCAGTGATGCGTAATATGATGTCAGTTTAATAAAATGTATGTTCATCTTATTAGATACAGCACATCCCAAAAGTATAGATAATCAACATTTTTCTACTTTTCAGAATTGTTAGGAATTTAAGAGAAATCTAAATGATTTCATTTGTATATGCAAATTACTTTACACTAATTTATGATAATTTCAAAATTAAATTTTTCATTAATATTTAAAACTGAAAGCTACTTACCATGACGTTTGCTAGCTGGTAATCTTCCGGCTACTTTATCTGACATAGGTTTTGACATTCTACGAAGTGCAGCTACTTCTTCTTGTTTTCTTCTTAACACATTTTCTTTCATACGTTTTTCTGCTTCTAGTGTACGAATTTGATTTTCTCTTTTTCTGCTTTCTTTTTTAAGTTGAGCAATTTCTCTATTTCTCAATTGTTCTGATGTTTTATGTCTTTGTGCTTCTTCTTTCATTTTGTTCATTAATCGTACCTGTATAAAATAAAGATATGTACACATTTAATATCAATTGTTAAAGCCAAATGAATGCCAAATTATCAACTATAATAAGGCTATGTAATTATTTAGTATTTAATTAATTACATAGCCATATTATAGGTCAATAATTCGGTAGTTGTTTGATTTTAACTGTAAACTGAGTTTGTGAGTTGATGATGTTATATATATCAATTGTTAATTAAACAATAAATATATATAAAGTTCAAAAAAATTGAAAATAGTAATAAATATCATTCAAAATTTCATGAATTCATTCATTACAAATTTTTTTATTTTTCATTTACTATGTTATTTGATGTGATTTACATCATTGCTTTGGTGAATTTATGCAAAATATATGTTTTACTTCACGCTACTGTGAGTTTTGGGAATTTATCTTGACAATACAAGTCAATAAGATCTTAATGCTAGATTCTGATATCACTTGGAACTTTCATTGCACTGTTCTGAAAACAGTTGTATACCAAATATGTGGTATTTGGAAAACAAATAGGAATGAGATGGAAAGTGATAAATATTACTGTAAATTATCAAATAATTTTTTAAATTATTTATACAAATTTTCTCATTTATACAAGTACGTAATATTATTGATAGTAGATATAAATTTTCCTAACATTACATGCCAATGACTTTAATTAAACATAAAATGTTCTCATGTTACAGTTATGGAGAGAGAAAGAATTTATTTATTTATTTATTAGATTCTCATCCATATAATGAAAGATAGATTTATAGAAACTGTTAGAAAGTGATTCTTAGCAACCAACTGCTAAGGACTAAATTAGCTGATTTTGAACAAAAATTATTGAATATTTTTTTGGAAAAAGAAGAGAATGATAAGATAATTTTACTATGCTACAATATATCTCCTTTTTTAGTGGATTTTTCTTGTTTAATAGAAAACAGACTAAGAAATAAAATACAATTTTTTCTATAACAATGAAATATAACTAAATTTAATGTATTAGAATGTTAAAATATTTGATTAATAATCTAGATCTTCACATATACCAATTTTAAATATCATTCAAGCACACCATTTAAGGATAACATTAATTTTTTCAACACATCTTATTTTATCATTAAAATAAGAATTGATGAAGGAATCTTACTTTTGCTTGTTTCATATCTGTTACTTCTTGTTTTAATTGTCTTAGTTGGCGTTCATATTGAACTTGATTTTTCATTAATTTTGCATGTTCCTTCTTTGCAGTTTGCATTTTCTTTAATTCTTTTTGCAATAAATTAAGTTTTTTCTCAAAATCTTCTTTTACTTTTTTAACTTTTTCTTCTGATTGATTTTCTGCACTTTCTATAAGAAGAATAATTATCCTCATTACTTTTATTTATTTTTGAAAATTTGTGTATCTTTTGTTTTGACTTTATATACAACAGGACAATACCAAAGGATAAAACCAAACAATTTCATTATTTTNATTTCAATAATTGTTCTTGTTTGGAATAACTGAAGAATGATTTGCATTATAAATAAGGATAAAGAATATATGTTCAATGTGTGAATGAATGCATAATGTAAGTTCTGCTTTATAGATGTCAGAAAACAAGACCTCTTTTGTTTTATGATAGGATATTTACAGTTAGGAAAGCTATAAAGAAAGATTGAAATTATTAAAATCTTTTTAGTATGTTTATGTCAGCAAATTTATGATTGTTATTACGGTATTTTAAATAATAAAACTATTTGCTAATCTGTTAGTAAACAACAATTATATCGCAATAAATAACATGTCTTCAAATAGAAACCAAATTCGAATTCAACAAATGTTTTTGTTTGTTTTTATTTTCTTTGAATGAATTTGTTGTAACCTTCTTTGTTGCAAGAGCCCACAAGAGGCCGTCAAGGCAGAATTCAAACTTTTCTTTGTGTTGTTGTCACACCAGTCAGTTGTATCCCGAAGTGAATAAAAATAATTGTTAACTAACTATGTGTTCTTATATGAAAAGTGTTCAAAACGAAATTGATACAAAAGAATTTATACAAATCTATTGCAGACAGGAACAGGGGTGGCCCTAGGGCAGTGCGAACGGTGCAACTGCACCAGGCACCGTCATGGGGGGCGCAGAAAATGCAACAATAGATTGTTTGCACAAAAAATAAAACCCAATCACCTTATTACTACTTAACCCTACCTGCCAAAATAAATTCTATACAACAGTATAGAGTCGCCAGATACTTCGAGATAAAATCCAGGATAAAATGAGTTCTTCCAGAAAAATACTGGGATGCTTCCCAGTGAAAACAGGAGCAATTCTGGGATATGAAACAGTGTATATTTTTACTCTGTCACTGATAGAAATACAATTAAAATTGGAAAAAGAAAAAGATACTTTATTATAAAAACTGCTCCTACAATGACAGAAGAAAATTACTAGGATTGATATCCTGATTGAAATCACCAAAGGCAGACTGAAATCACTTGTTGAAATATCTTTAAAGGCAGGTGCACACAGGTAGCAAAATTAATGCAACATTGAATGTCAACAACTGCTGCAACCAATTCCTCTTTTGATCTTCATAGTTAAAATGGGTGATTGGTCAAGTTTGTTGTTGATGTTAAATTTTGCCTTAATTTTGCTGTTTGAATATTTAATTGCTTAATTGAATATTTGATGTTTAATGCCAAAAATAGATGTCAAAGCTGTCGTAAGATAATGCACACTCCTGTCCAAAAAATAAGCATGATCATTTAATTCATATAGTCTGCAGAATGATTCTTACAGATTAGAATCCCCAAGCAGGACAATGAGAAGGCAAGAACCCAATATGCCCCCTTGAACATTGCGGAAAGAAAGCATTTTGCAATTGGTAGTATTGTGGTCTAGAGATGTATTATGCTTATTGGCTGTATTGGGTTCAATGTTACTGTAAGAAGATGGAGATAAAATTTTGGAACTCCCTGTGAGACTTTTCTGACATACATGATCTAATGAGGAGCTATTGTACGTGGGGAGTCTGATATTAAAGGTACAGGCCAAAATTACACTAACATTTATAATTAAAGAAAATATTTAATACGTTCCATAAAAACAACATACTTTTGTTTATTTTTCGACATAATCGCCATAAATGTTGAGACATTTATCGCAGCGTGACATTACTTTAAACATCCCTTCATGGTACTATTGCTTGTCAAGTTGCTTGAAGTAGTCCAGAACAATATCTTCCAATTCCTCTTGATCCACAAAGCATTTCCCTGCCAAAAATTTCTTTAAAGATCTGAATAAATGAAAATCTGATGGGGGCTAAATCTGCACTATACTCCACACATCAAATCAAACCAAACTGTGGTTGGCACAGCGGAATTGGAAGGTCCTGCACATCCTCCGTACAGTCCAAATTTAGCCCCCGTTGGATTTTCATTTATTCGGATCTTTAAAGAAATTTTTGGCAGGGAAACACTTTGTGGATCAAGAGGAATTGGAAGATATCATTCTGGACTACTTCAAGCAACTTGACAAGCAACAGTACCGTGAAGGAATGTTTAAAGTAGTGTCACTCTGGGATAAATGTCTCAACATTTATGGCGATTATGTCGAGAAATAAACAAAAGTATGTTGTTTTTGTGGAACGTATTAAATACTTTCTTTAATTATAAATGTTAGTTTAATTTTGGCCTGTACCTTTAATATCAGACTCCCTACATATTTACACCTTTTTCATTTATCATCATAATTATTATATGAATATATATTAAATTCTTAATAGAGAGAGAGAGAGAGAGAGAGATGTGGTTTAAAATTGGATTACTTTTAGCTATGCCATCTTCTTTGTGGTCATATTTTTTCTCTAAAAAGACTAAAGAGTTTAAAATCTATGACTAAAATGCAGGATTCAAATATGGATCCAGCAAATAATGACTAACAACTTAACAACTTTTCTAGCAGATCAATCCTGTAAATCAGGGGTGTCCAACCCGCGGCCTGTGGGCCGCATGCGGCCCAATAAACATGTAAACAAAACCGACAAATTCTTTTATTTTTTTATTATTTATTTATTTCAACGGCATAAACTCAAAAAAAAAAAAATTCACAAAGCTGTGAACTTTTATACATATTTTATTTTTGAGTGAAAAGGAATTATTTTCAAATACTTGGAGATGTGTGAATGACGAAGGAATACTAAATAAAGCTGAAGTTGTGACTCAAAGGATTATAGACCCAAATTAGAGAAAAGGAGAGAAAGGCCAAAAGATAAAAAGTAGTGAGGAAGGTTGGAAAATTAAGGGTCAATATTTGCATAACAGAAGGTCTATTTAACATTTCTCGCTACTTTTTATCTTTTGGCCTTTCTCTCCTTTTCTCAAATTTGGGTCTATAATCCTTTGAGTTCCAACTCCAGCATTATTTAGTATTCTTTCCAGCATTGAAAGATCATTGAAAGATTTGGCTACCCTTTTTTCAGTTTGGCGTAAAAATTATCATTTCGCGCATTGGCTACTTTCAGGGCTACATATTATTTATAAATATATTAGTCGAATAAAAATGCACTTTAAAATGGTGTTTCGTCGTTTTTT